GAGGCGCCTATCTATAGGGGCGCCTATCTCTAGGGGTGCCTATCTCTAGGGGCGCCTATCTCTATGGGCGCCCACTCTATGGGCGCCTATCTCTATGGGCGCCTCGCGCCTATCTATAGAGACCCCTATCTCTATGGGCGCCCATCTCTAGGGGCGCCTATCTCTGAGGGCGTCTATATCTAGGGGCGCCTATCTCTAGGGGCGCCTTTCTCTAGGGGCGCCTATCTCTAGGGGGGCCTATCTCTAGGGGCGCCTATCTCTAGGGGAGCCTATCTCTAGGTGAGCCTATCTCTAGGGGCGCCTATCTCTAGGTGAGCCTATCTCTAGGGGCGCCTATCTCTAGGGGCGCCTATCTCTATGGGCGCCTATCTCTAGGGGCGCCTATCTCTAGGGGCGCCTATCTCTATGGCCGCCTATCTCTATGGCCGCCTATCTCTATGGGCGCCTATATCTATGGGCGCCTATCTCTAGGGGCGCCTGTCTCTAGGGGCGCCTATCTCTAGGGGCGCCTATCTCTATGGGCGCCTATCTCTATGGCCGCCTATCTCTAGGGGCGCCTATGTCTATGGGCGCCTATCTCTAGGGGCGCCTATCTCTATGGGCGCCTATCTCTATGGGCGCCTATCTCTATGGGCGCCTATCTCTAGGGGCGCCTATCTCTAGGGGCGCCTATCTCTAGGGGCGCCTATCTCTATGGGCGCCTATCTCTATGAGCGCCTATCTCTAGGGGCGCCTATCTCTATGGGCGCCTATCTCTATGGGCGCCTATCTCTAGGGGCGCCTATCTCTATGGGCTCCTATCCCTAAGGGCGCCTATCTCTAGGGGTGCCTATCTCTAGGGGCGCCTATCTCTATGGGCGCCTACCTCTATGGGCGCCTATCTCTAGAGGCGCCTATCTATAGGGGCGCCTATCTCTAGGGGCGCCTATCTCTAGGGGCGCCTATCTCTATGGGCGCCCACTCTATGGGCGCCTATCTCTATGGGCGCCTCGCGCCTATCTATAGAGACCCCTATCTCTATGGGCGCCCATCTCTAGGGGCGCCTATCTCTGAGGGCGTCTATATCTAGGGGCGCCTATCTCTAGGGGCGCCTTTCTCTAGGGGCGCCTATCTCTAGGGGGGCCTATCTCTAGGGGCGCCTATCTCTAGGGGCGCCTATCTCTAGGGGCTCCTATCTCTAAGGGCGCCTATCTCTATGGGCGCCTATCTCTATGAGCGCCTATCTCTAGGGGTGCCTATCTCTAGGGGCGCCTATCTCTAGGGGCGCCTATCTCTAGGGGCGCCTCTCTCTATGGGCGCCTATCTCTAGGGGCGCCTATATCTGTGCGCGCCTATCTCTAGGGGCGCCTATATCTAGGGGGCCCCTATCTCTGTGGGCGCTTATCTCTATGGGTGCCTATCTCTAGGGGCGCATATCTCTATGGGCGCCTATCTCTATGGGCGCCTATCTCTAGGGGCGCCTATCTCCGGGGGCGCCTATCACTATGGGCGCCTATTTCTATGGGCGCCTATCTCTAGGGGCGCCTATCTCTAGGGGCGCCTATCTCTAGCGGCGGCCTATCTCTATGGACGCCTATCTCTAGGGGTGCCTATCTCTAGGGCCGCCAATCTCTAGGGGCGCCTATCTCTAGGGGCACGTATCTCTAGGGCCGTCTATCCCGAGGGGCGCCTATCTCTAGGGGCTCCTATCTCTAGGGGTGCCTATCTTTAGGGGCGGCTATCTCTAGGGGCGCCTATCTCTATGGGCGCCTATCTCTTTGGGCGCCTATCTTTATGGGTGCCTATCTCTAGGGGCGCCTATCTCTATGGCCGCCTATCTCTATGGGCGCCTATATCTATGGGCGCCTATCTCTAGGGGCGCCTGTCTCTAGGGGCGCCTATCTCTAGGGGCGCCTATCTCTATGGGCGCCTATCTCTATGGCCGCCTATCTCTAGGGGCGCCTATGTCTATGGGCGCCTATCTCTAGGGGCGCCTATCTCTATGGGCGCCTATCTCTATGGGCGCCTATCTCTATGGGCGCCTATCTCTAGGGGCGCCTATCTCTAGGGGCGCCTATCACTAGGGGCGCCTATCTCTATGGGCGCCTATCTCTATGAGCGCCTATCTCTAGGGGCGCCTATCTCTATGGGCGCCTATCTCTATGGGCGCCTATCTCTAGGGGCGCCTATCTCTATGGGCTCCTATCCCTAAGGGCGCCTATCTCTAGGGGTGCCTATCTCTAGGGGCGCCTATCTCTATGGGCGCCTACCTCTATGGGCGCCTATCTCTAGAGGCGCCTATCTATAGGGGCGCCTATCTCTAGGGGCGCCTATCTCTAGGGGCGCCTATCTCTATGGGCGCCCACTCTATGGGCGCCTATCTCTATGGGCGCCTCGCGCCTATCTATAGAGACCCCTATCTCTATGGGCGCCCATCTCTAGGGGCGCCTATCTCTGAGGGCGTCTATATCTAGGGGCGCCTATCTCTAGGGACGCCTTTCTCTAGGGGCGCCTATCTCTAGGGGGGCCTATCTCTAGGGGCGCCTATCTCTAGGGGAGCCTATCTCTAGGGGCTCCTATCTCTAAGGGCGCCTATCTCTATGGGCGCCTATCTCTATGAGCGCCTATCTCTAGGGGTGCCTATCTCTAGGGGCGCCTATCTCTAGGGGCGCCTATCTCTAGGGGCGCCTCTCTATGGGCGCCTATCTCTAGGGGCGCCTATATCTGTGCGCGCCTATCTCTAGGGGCGCCTATATCTAGGGGGCGCCTATCTCTGTGGGCGCTTATCTCTATGGGTGCCTATCTCTAGGGGCGCATATCTCTATGGGCGCCTATCTCTATGGGCGCCTATCTAAAGGGGCGCCTATCTCCGGGGGCGCCTATCACTATGGGCGCCTATTTCTATGGGCGCCTATCTCTAGGGGCGCCTATCTCTAGGGGCGCCTATCTCTAGCGGCGGCCTATCTCTATGGACGCCTATCTCTAGGGGTGCCTATCTCTAGGGCCGCCAATCTCTAGGGGCGCCTATCTCTAGGGGCACGTATCTCTAGGGCCGTCTATCCCGAGGGGCGCCTATCTCTAGGGGCGCCTATCTCTAGGGGTGCCTATCTTTAGGGGCGGCTATCTCTAGGGGCGCCTATCTCTATGGGCGCCTATCTCTTTGGGCGCCTATCTTTATGGGTGCCTATCTCTAGGGGCGCCTATCTCTAGGGGCACCTATCTCTATGGGCGCCTATCTCTATGGGCGCCTATCTCTATGGGCGCCTATCTCTATCGGTGCCTATCTCTAGGGGTGCCTATCCCTATGGGCGCCTAACTCTATGGGCGCCTATCTCTAGTGGCGCCTATCTCTAGGGCGCCTATCTCTATGGGCGCCTATATCTAGGGGCGCCTATCTCTAGGGGCGCCTATCTCTAGGAGCGCCTATCTCTAGGGGCGCATATCTCTATGGGCGCCAATCTCTAGGGCCACCTATCTCTATGGGCGCCCATCTCTATGGGCGCCTATCTCTATGGGCGCCTATCTCTAGGGGCGCCTATCTCTATGGGCGCCCACTCTATGGGCGCCTATCTCTATGGGCGCCTCGCGCCTATCTATAAAGGCGCCTATCTCTATGGGCGCCCATCTCTAGGGGCGCCTATCTCTGAGGGCGCCTATCTCTAGGGGCGCCTATCTCTAGGGGTGCCTGTCTCTAGGGGCGCCTATCTCTAGGGGCGCCTATCTCTAGGGGCGCCTCTCTCTATGGGCGCCTATCTCTAGGGGCGCATATCTCTATGCGCGCCTATCTCTAGGGGCGCCTATATCTAGGGGCGCCTATCTCTAGGGGCACGTATCTCTAGGGCCGTCTATCCCGAGGGGCGCCTATCTCTAGAGGCACCTATCTCTAGGGGTGCCTATCTTTAGGGGCGGCTATCTCTAGGGGTGCCTATCTCTATGGGCGCCTATCTCTAGGGGCGCCTATCTCTATGGGCGCCTATCTCTTTGGGCGCCTATCTCTATGGGTGCCTATCTCTAGGGGCGCCTATCTCTAGGGGCGCCTATCTCTATGGGCGCCTATCTCTATGGGCGCCTATCTGTATGGGCGCCTATCTCTATCGGTGCCTATCTCTAGGGGTGCCTATCTCTATGGGCGCCTATCTCCAGGGGCGCCTATCTCTAGTGGCGCCTATCTCTAGGGGCGCCTATCTCTATGGGCACCTATCTCTAGGGGCGCCTATCTCTAGGGGCGCCTATCTCTATGAGCGCCTATCTCTAGGGGCGCATATCTCTATGGGCACCAATCTCTAGGGGCACCTATCTCTATGGGCGCCTATCTCTATGGGCGCCTATCTCTATAGGCGCCTATCTCTATGGGCGCCTATCTATTTGGGCGCCTATCTCTATGGGCGCATATCTCTATGGGCGCCAATCTCTAGGGGCACCTATCTCTATGGGCGCCTATCTCTATGGGCGCCTATCTCTATGGGAACCTATCTCTATGGGCGCCTATCTATTTGGGCGCCTATCTCTATGGGCGCCTATCTCTATAGGCGCCTCTCTCTATGGGCGCCTACCTCTAGGGGCGCCTATCTCTAGTGGCGCCTATCTCTATGGGCGCCTATCTCTAGGGGCGCCTATCTCTAGGGGCGCCTATCTCTAGGGGCGCCTATCTCTAGGGGCGCATATCTCTATGGGCGCCTATCTCTAGGGGCGCCTATCTCTATGGGCGCCTATCTCTATGGGCGCCTATCTCTATGGGCGCCTATCTCTATGGGCGCCTATCTCTATGGGCGCCTATCCCTATGGGCGCCTATCTCTATGGGCGCCTATCTCTATGGGTTCCTATCTCTATGGACGCCTATCTCTAGGGGCGCCTATCTCTAGTGGCGCCTATCTCTAGGGGCGCCTATCTCTATGGGCGCCTATCTCTAGGGGCACCTATCTCTAGGGGCGCCTATCTCTAGGAGCGCCTATCTCTAGGGCCGCATATCTCTATGCGCGCCAATCTCTAGGGGCACCTATCTCTATAGGCGCCTATCTCTATGGGCGCCTATCTCTATAGGCGCCTATCTCTAGGGGCGCCTATCTCTATGGGCGCCTATCTCTATGGGCGCCTATCTCTATGGGCGCCTATCTCTATGGGTGCCTATCTGTATGGGCGCCTATCTCTATGGGCGCCTATCTCTATGGGCGCCTATCGCTATGGGCGCCTGTCTCTAGGGGTGCCTATCTCTATGGGCGCCTATCTCTAGGGGCGCCTATCTCTAGTGGCGCCTATCTCTAGGGGCGCCTATCTCTATGGGCGCCTATCTCTAGGGGCGCCTATCTCTAGGGGCGCCTATCTCTATGGGCGCCTATCTCTATGGGTGCCTATCTCTATGGGCGCCTATCTCTATGGGCGCCTATCTCTATGGGCGCCTATCTCTATGGGCGCCTATCTCTATGGGCGCCTATCTCTATGGGCGCCTATCTCTATGGGCGCCTATCTCTAGGGGTGCCTATCTCTATGGGCGCCTATCTCTAGGGGCGCCTATCTCTAGTGGCGCCTATCTCTAGGGGCACCTATCTCTATGGGCGCCTATCTCTAGGGGCGCCTATCTCTATGGGCGCCTATCTCTATGGGTGCCTATCTCTATGGGCGCCTATCTCTATGGGCGCCTATCTCTATGGGCGCCTATCTCTATGGGCGCCTATCTCTATGGGCGCCTATCTCTATGGGCGCCTATCTTTATGGGCGCCTATCTCTATGGGCGCCTATCTCTATGGGCGCCTGTCTCTAGGGGTGCCTATCTCTATGGGCGCCTATCTCTAGGGGCGCCTATCTCTAGTGGCGCCTATCTCTAGGGGCGCCTATCTCTATGGGCGCCTATCTCTAGGGGCGCCTATCTCTAGGGGCGCCTATCTCTAGGAGCGCCTATCTCTAGGGGCGCATATCTCTATGGGCGCCAATCTCTAAGGGCACCTATCACTATGGGCGCCTATCTCTATGGGCGCCTATCTCTAGGGGCGGCTATCTCTATGGGCGCCTATCTCTATGGGCGCCTATCTGTATGGGCGCCTATCTCTATCGGTGCCTATCTCTAGGGGTGCCTATCTCTATGGGCGCCTATCTCCAGGGGCGCCTATCTCTAGTGGCGCCTATCTCTAGGGGAGCCTATCTCTATGGGCGCCTATCTCTAGGGGCGCCTATCTCTAGGGGCGCCTATCTCTATGAGCGCCTATCTCTAGGGGCGCATATCTCTATGGGCGCCAATCTTTAGGGGCACCTATCTCTATGGGCGCCTATCTCTATGGGCGCCTATCTCTATGGGCGCCTATCTCTCTGGGCGCCTATCTATTTGGGCGCCTATCTCTATGGGCGCATATCTCTATGGGCGCCAATCTCTAGGGGCACCTATCTCTATGGGCGCCTATCTCTAGGGGCGCCTATCTCTAGGGGCGCCTATCTCTAGGGGCGCCTATCTCTAGGGGCGCATATCTCTATGGGCGCCTATCTCTAGGGGCGCCTATCTCTATGGGCGCCTATCTCTATGGGCGCCTATCTCTATGGGTGCCTATCTCTATGGGCGCCTATCTCTATGGGCGCCTATCTCTATGGGCGCCTATCTCTATGGGCGCCTATCTCTTTGGGCGCCTATCGCTATGGGCGCCTATCTCTATGGGCGCCTATCTCTAGGGGTTCCTATCTCTATGGACGCCTATCTCTAGGTGCGCCTATCTCTAGTGGCGCCTATCTCTAGGGGCGCCTATCTCTATGGGCGCCTATCTCTAGGGGCACCTATCTCTAGGGGCGCATATCTCTATGGGCGCCTATCTCTAGGGGCGCCTATCTCTATGGGCCCCTATCTCTATGGGCGCCTATCTCTATGGGCGCCTATGTCTATGGGCGCCTATCTCTATGGGCGCCTATCTCTATGGGCGCCTATCTCTATGGGCGCCTATCTCTTTGGGCGCCTATCTATTTGGGCGCCTTTCTCTATGGGCGCCTATCTCTATGGGCGCCTCTCTCTATGGGCGCCTATCTCTAGGGGCGCCTTTCTCTAGTGGCGCCTATCTCTATGGGCGCCTATCTCTAGGGGCGCCTATCTCTAGGGGCGCCTATCTCTAGGGGCGCCTATCTCTAGGGGCGCATATCTCTATGGGCGCCTATCTCTAGGGGCGCCTATCTCTATGGGCGCCTATCTCTATGGGCGCCTATCTCTATGGGTGCCTATCTCTATGGGCGCCTATCTCTATGGGCGCCTATCTCTATGGGCGCCTAGCTCTATGGGCGCCTATCTCTTTGGGCGCCTATCGCTATGGGCGCCTATCTCTATGGGCGCCTATCTCTAGGGGTTCCTATCTCTATGGACGCCTATCTCTAGGGGCGCCTATCTCTAGTGGCGCCTATCTCTAGGGGCGAATATCTCTATGGGCGCCTATCTCTAGGGGCACCTATCTCTAGGGGCGCATATCTCTATGGGCGCCTATCTCTAGGGGCGCCTATCTCTATGGGCCCCTATCTCTATGGGCGCCTATCTCTATGGGCGCCTATGTCTATGGGCGCCTATCTCTATGGGCGCCTATCTCTATGGGCGCCTATCTCTATGGGCGCCTATCTCTTTGGGCGCCTATCCCTATGGGCGCCTATCTCTATGGGCGCCTATCTCTAGGGGTTCCTATCTCTATGGATGCCAATCTCTAGGGGCGCCTATCTCTAGTGGCGCCTATCTCTAGGGGCGCCTATCTCTATGGGCGCCTATCTCTAGGGGCACCTATCTCTAGGGGCGCCTATCTCTAGGGGCGCATATCTCTATGGGCGCCAATCTCTAGGGGCACCTATCTCTATAGGCGCCTATCTCTATGGGCGCCTATCTCTATGGGCGCCTATCTCTAGGGGCGCCTATCTCTATGGGCGCCTATCTCTATGGGCGCCTATCTCTATGGGCGCCTATCTCTATGGGTGCCTATCTCTATGGGCGCCTATCTCTATGGGCGCCTATCTCTATGGGCGCCTATCGCTATGGGCGCCTGTCTCTAGGGGTGCCTATCTCTATGGGCGCCTATCTCTAGGGGCGCCTATCTCTAGTGGCGCCTATCTCTAGGGGCGCCTATCTCTATGGGCGCCTATCTCTAGGGGCGCCTATCTCTAGGGGCGCCTATCTCTATGGGCGCCTATCTCTATGGGTGCCTATCTCTATGGGCGCCTATCTCTATGGGCGCCTATCTCTATGGGCGCCTATCTCTATGGGCGCCTATCTCTATGGGCGCCTATCTCTATGGGCGCCTATCTCTATGGGCGCCTGTCTCTAGGGGTGCCTATCTCTATGGGCGCCTATCTCTAGGGGCACCTATCTCTAGTGGCGCCTATCTCTAGGGGCGCCTATCTCTATGGGCGCCTATCTCTAGGGGCGCCTATCTCTATGGGCGCCTATCTGTATGGGTGCCTATCTCTATGGGCGCCTATCTCTATGGGCGCCTATCTCTATAGGCGCCTATCTCTATGGGCGCCTATCTCTATGGGCGCCTATCTCTATGGGCGCCTATCTCTATGGGCGCCTGTCTCTAGGGGTGCCTATCTCTATGGGCGCCTATCTCTAGGGGCGCCTATCTCTAGTGGCGCCTATCTCTAGGGGCGCCTATCTCTATGGGCGCCTATCTCTAGGGGCGCCTATCTCTAGGGGCGCCTATCTCTAGGAGCGCCTATCTCTAGGGGCGCATATCTCTATGGGCGCCAATCTCTAAGGGCACCTATCTCTATGGGCGCCTATCTCTATGGGCGCCTATCTCTAGGGGCGGCTATCTCTATGGGCGCCTATCTCTATGGGCGCCTATCTCTATGGGCGCCTATCTCTATGCGCGCCTATCTCTATGGGCGCCTATCTCTTTGGGCGCCTATCTATTTGGGCGCCTATCTCTATGGGCGCATATCTCTATGGGCGCCAATCTCTAGGGGCACCTATCTCTATGGGCGCCTATCTCTATGGGCGCCTATCTCTATGGGCGCCTATCTCTATGGGCGCCTATCTATTTGGGCGCCTTTCTCTATGGGCGCCTATCTTTATGGGCGCCTCTCTCTATGGGCGCCTATCTCTAGGGGCGCCTATCTCTAGTGGCGCCTATCTCTATGGGCGCCTATCTCTAGGGGCGCCTATCTCTAGGGGCGCCTATCTCTAGGGGCGCCTATCTCTAGGGGCGCATATCTCTATGGGCGCCTATCTCTAGGGGCGCCTATCTCTATGGGCGCCTATCTCTATGGGCGCCTATCTCTATGGGCGCCTATCTCTATGGGCGCCTATCTCTATGGGCGCCTATCTCTATGGGCGCCTATCTCTTTGGGCGTCTATCCCTATGGGCGCCTATCTCTATGGGCGCCTATCTCTAGGGGTTCCTATCTCTATGGACGCCTATCTCTAGGGGCGCCTATCTCTAGTGGCGCCTATCTCTAGGGGCGCCTATCTCTATGGGCGCCTATCTCTAGGGGCACCTATCTCTAGGGGCGCCTATCTCTAGGGGCGCATATCTCTATGGGCGCCAATCTCTAGGGGCACCTATCTCTATAGGCGCCTATCTCTATGGGCGCCTATCTCTATGGGCGCCTATCTCTAGGGGCGCCTATCTCTATGGGCGCCTATCTCTATGGGCGCCTATCTCTATGGGCGCCTATCTCTATGGGTGCCTATCTCTATGGGCGCCTATCTCTATGGGCGCCTATCTCTATGGGCGCCTATCGCTATGGGCGCCTGTCTCTAGGGGTGCCTATCTCTATGGGCGCCTATCTCTATGGGCGCCTATCTCTATGGGCGCCTATCTCTAGGGGCGGCTATCTCTATGGGCGTCTATCTCAATGGGCGCCTATCTCTAGGGGTGCCTATCTCTATGGGCGCCTATCTCTATGGGCGCCTCTCTTTAGGGGCGCCAATCTCTAGAGGCGCCTATCTCTATGGTCGCCCATCTCTAGGGGCGCCTACCTCTAGGGGCACTTATCTCTAGGGGCGCCTATCTCCAGGGGCGCCTAACTCTAAGGACGCCTATCTCTAGGGGTGCCTATCTCTAGGGGCGGCTATCTCTAGGGGCACCTATCTCTATGGGCGCCTATCTCTAGGGGCGCCAATCTCTATGGGCGGCTATCTCTTTGGGCGCCTATCTCTATGGGCGCCTATCTCTAGGGGCGCCTATCTCTTGGGGCGCCTATCTCTATGGGCGCCTATCTCTATGGGCGCCTATCTCTATGGGCGCCTATCTCTATGGGCGCCTATCTCTAGGGGTGCCTATCTCTATGGGGCGCCTATCTCTGTGGGCGCTTATCTCTATGGGTGCCTATCTCTGGGGGCGCCTATGTCTATGGGCGCCTATCTCTATGGGCGCCTATCTCTAGGGGCGCCTATCTCTAGGGGCGCCTATCTCTAGCGGCGGCCTATCTCTATGGGCGCCTATCTCTAGGGGCGCCTATCTCTAAGGGCGCCAATCTCTAGGGCCACGTATCTCTAGGGGCGTCTTTCCCGAGAAGCGCCTATCTCTAGGGGCGCCTATCTCTAGGGGTGCCTATCTCTACGGGCGGCTATCTCTAGGGGCGCATATCTCTATGGGCGCCAATCTCTAGGGGCGCCTATCTCGATAGGCGACTATCTCTTTGGGCGCCTATCTCTATGGGCGCCTATCTCTATGGGCGCCTATCTCTTGGGGCGCCTATCTCTAGGGCGCCTATCTTTAGCGGCGCCTATCCCTCCTTCCATCACCCCGCACCATTCTCCCGCCTTCCATCACCCCGCCCCATTCCTCCGCTTTCCATCACCCCGGCCCATTCTCCCGCTTTCCATCATCCCGCCCTATTCTCCCGCTTTCCATCACCCCAACCCATTCTCCCGCTTTCCATCACCGCGCCCCATTCTCCTCCCTTCCATCACCCCGCCCCATTCTCCCGCTTTCCATTACCCCGCCCCATTCTCCCGCTTTCCATCACCGCGCCCCATTCTCCCGCTTTCCATCACCCCGCCCTATTCTCCCGCTTTCCATCAACCCGTCCCATTCTCCCGCTTTCCATCATCCCGCCCCATTCTCCCGCTTTCCATCACCCCGCCCCATTCTCCCGCTTTCCATCACCCCGCCCCATTCTCCCGCTTTCTATCACCCCGCCCCATTCTCCCGCTTTCCATCACCCCGCCCCATTCTCCCTCCTTCCATCACCCCGCTCCATTCTCCCTCCTTCTATCACCCCGCCCCATTCTCCCTCCTTACATCACCCCGCCCCATTTCCCTGGCTTCCATCACCCCGCCACATTCTCCCGCTTTCCACCACCCCGCCCCATTCTCCCGCTTTCCATCACCCCGCCCCATTCTCCCGCTTTCCATCACCCCGCCCCATCCTCCCACCTTCCATCACCCCGCCCCATTCTCCCGCTTTCCATCACCCCGCCCCATTCTCCAACTTTCCATCACCCCGCCCCATTCTCCCGCTTTCCATCACCCCGCCCCATTCTCCCGCTTTCCATCACCCCGCCCCATTCTCCCGCTTTCCATCACCCCGCCCCATTCTCCCGCTTTCCATCACCCCGCCCCATTCTCCCGCTTTCCATCACCCCGCCCATTCTCCCGCTTTCCATCACCCCGCCCCATTCTCCCGCGTTCCATGACCCTGCCCCATTCTCCTGCTTTCCATCACCCCGCCCCATTCTCCCTCTTTCCATCACCCCGCCCCATTCTCCCGCTTTCCATCAGCCCACCCCATTCTCCATCTTTTCATCACCCCGCCCCATTCTCCCGCTTTCCATCACCCCGCACAATTCTCCCGCTTTCCATCACCCCGCCCCATTCCCCCTTCTTTTATCACCCCGCCCCATTCTCTCGCTTTCCATCACCCCTCCCCATTCTCCCGCTTTCCATCACCCCACCCCATTCCCCATCTTTTCATCACCCCGCCCCATTCTCCCACTTTCCATCACCCCGCACTATTCTCCCGCTTTCCATCAACCCGCCCCATTCTCCCTCCTTCCATCACCCCGCCCCACTCTCCCGCTTTCCATCACCTCGCCCCATTCTCCCGCTTTCCATCACCCCGCCCCATTCTCCCGCTTTCCATCAGCCCACCCCATTCTCCATCTTTTCATCACCCCGCCCCATTCTCCCGCTTTCTATCACCCCGCACAATTCTCCCGCTTTCCATCACCCCGCCCCATTCCCCCTCTTTCCATCACCCCGCCCCATTCTCTCGCTTTCCATCACCCCTCCCCATTCTCCCTCTTTCCATCACCCCAACCCATTCTCCATCTTTTCATCACCTCGCCCCATTCTCCCACTTTCCATCACCCCGCACCATTCTCCCGCTTTCCATCAACCCGCCCCATTCTCCCTCCTTCCATCACCCCGCCCCATTCTCCCGCTTTCCATCACCTCGCCCCATTCTCCCGCTTTCCATCACCCCGCCCCATTCTCCCGCTTTCCATCACCCCACCCCATTCTCCATCTTTTCATCACCCCGCCCCATTCTCCCGCTTTCCATCACCCCGCACCATTCTCCCGCTTTCCATCACCCCGCCCCATTCTCCCTCCATCCATCACCCCGCCCCATTCCCCCTCCTTCCATCACCCCGCCCCATTCTCCCGCTTTCCATCACCCCGCCCCATTCTCCCGCTTTCCATCACCCCGCCCCATTCTCCCGCTTTCCATCACCCCGCCCCATTCTCCCGCTTTCCATCACCCCGCCCCATTCTCCCGCTTTCCATCACCCCGCCCCATTCTCCCGCTTTCCATCACCCTGCCCCATTCTCCCGCTTTCCATCACCCCGCCCATTCTCCCGCTTTCCATCACCCCGCCCCATTCTCCCGCTTTCCATCACCCCACCCCATTCTCCCTCCTTCCATCACCCCGCCCCATTCTCCCTCCTTCCATCACCCCGCCTCATTCTCCCGCTTTCCATCACCCCGCCCCATTCTCCCGCTTTCCATCACCCCGCCCCATTCTCCCGCTTTCCATCACCCCGTCCCATTCTCTCGCTTTCCATCACCCCTACCCATTCTCCCTCCTTCCATCACCCCGCCCCATTCTCCCTCCTTCCATCACCCCGCCCTATTCTCCCTCCTTCCATCACCCCGCCCCATTTTCTCGCTTTCCATCACCCACCCCATTCTCCCTCCTTCCATCACCCCGCCCCATTCTCCCTCCTTCCATCACCCCGACCCATTCTCCCTCCTTCCATCACCCCGCCCCATTCTCCCGCTTTCCATCGCCCCACCCCATTCTCCCGCTTTCCATCACCCCGACCCATTCTCCCGCTTTCCATCACCCCGTCCCATTCTCCCGCTTTCCATCACCCCGCCCCATTCTCCCGCTTTCCATCACCCCGCCCCATTCTCCCGCTTTCCATCACCCCGCCCATTCTCCCGCTTTCCATCACCCCGCCCCATTCTCCCGCTTTCCATCACCCCGCAACATTCTGCCGCTCTCCATCACCCCGCCCCATTCTCCCGCTCTCCATCACCTTGCCCCATTATCCCGCTTTCCATCATCCCGCCCCATTCTCCCGCTTTCCATCATCCTGCCCCATTCTCCCTCTTCCATCACGTCGACCCATTCTCCCGCTTTCCATCACCCTGCCTCATTCTCCCGCTTTCCATCACCCCGTCCCATTCTCCCGCTTTCCATCACCCCGCCCCATTCTCCCGCTTTCCATCACCCCGCCCCATTCTCCCGCTTTCCATCACCCCGCCCCATTCTCCCACTTTCCATCACCCCACCCCATTCTCCCGCTTTCCATCACCCCGCCCCATTCTCCCGCTTTCCATCACCCCGCCCCATTTTCTCGCTTTCCATCACCCGCCCCATTCTCCCACTTTCCATCACCCCTCCCCATTCTCCCTCCTTCCATCACCCCGCCCCATTCTCCCTCCTTCCATCACCCCGACCCATTCTCCCTCCTTCCATCACCCCGCCCCATTCTCCCGCTTTCCATCGCCCCACCCCATTCTCCCACTTTGCATCACCCGACTCCATTCTCCCGCTTTCCATCACCCCGACCCATTCTCTCTCTTTCCATCACCCCGCCCCATTCTCCCGCTTTCCATCACCCCGCCCCATTCTCCCGCTTTCCATCATCCCGCCCCATTCTCCCTCCTTCCATCACCCCGCCCCATTCTCCCTCCTTCCATCACCCCGCCCCATACTCCCGCTTTCCATCACCCCGCCTCATTCTCCCGCTTTCCATCACCCCGCCCCATTCTCCCGCTTTCCATCACCCCACCCCATTCTCCCGCTTTCCATCACCCCGCCCCATTCTCCCGCTTTCCATCACCCTGCCCCATTCTCCCTCCTTCCATCACCCCGGCCCATTCTCCCGCTTTCCATCACCCCGCCCCATTCTCCCGCTTTCCATCATCCCGCCCCATTCTCCCGCTTTCCATCACCCCGCCCCGTTCTCCCTCCTTCCATCACCCCGCGCCATTCTCCCTCCTTCCATCACCCCACCCCATTCTCCTGCTTTCCATCACCCCGCCCTATTCTTCCGCATTCCATCACCCAGCCCCATTATCCCGCCTTCCATCACCCCGCCCCATTTTCCTGCTTTCCGTCACCCCGCCCCATTCTCCCGCTATCCATCACCCCGCCCCATTCCCCAGCTTTCCATCACCCCGCCCCATTCTCCCGCTCTCCATCACCCCGCCCCATTCTCCCGCTTTCCATCACCCCGCCCAATTCTCCCGCTTTCCATCACCACGCCCCATTCTCCCGCTTTCCATCACCCTGCCCCATTCTCCCGCTTTCCATCACCCCGCCCCATTCTCCCGCTTTCCATCACCCCGCCCCATTTTCTCGCTTTCCATCACCCGCCCCATTCTCCCACTTTCCATCACCCCTCCCCATTCTCCCTCCTTCCATCTCCCCGCCCCATTCTCCCTCCTTCCATCACCCCGACCCATTCTCCCTCCTTCCATCACCCCGCCCCATTCTCCCGCTTTCCATCGCCCCACCCCATTCTCCCACTTTGCATCACCCGACCCCATTCTCCCGCTTTCCATCACCCCGACCCATTCTCCCGCTTTCCATCACCCCGTCCCATTCTCCCGCTTTCCATCACCCCGCCCCATTCTCCCGCTTTCAATCACCCCGCCCCATTCTCCCTCCTTTCATCACCACGCCCCATTCTCCCTCCTTCCATCACCCCGCCCCATACTCCCGCTTTCCATCACCCCGCCTCATTCTCCCGCATTCCATCACCCCGCCTCATTCTCCCGCTTTCCATCACCCCGCCCCATTCTCCCGCTTTCCATCACCCCGCCCCATTCTCCCGCTTTCCATCACCCTGCCCCATTCTCCCTCCTTCCATCACCCCGGCCCATTCTCCCGCTTTCCATCACCCCGCCCCATTCTCCCGCTTTCCATCACCCTGCCCCATTCTCCCGCTTTCCATCACCTCGCCCCATTCTCCCTCCTTCCATCACCCCGCGCCATTCTCCCTCCTTCCATCACCCCACCCCATTCTCCTGCTTTCCATCACCCCGCCCTATTCTTCCACATTCCATCACCCAGCCCCATTCTCCCGCTTTCCATCTCCCCGCCCCATTTTCCTGCTTTCCGTCACCCCGCCCCATTCTCCCGCTATCCATCACCCCGCCCCATTCCCCCGCTTTCCATCACCCCGCCCCATTCTCCTGCTTTCCATCACCCCGCCCCATTCTCCCGCTTTCCATCACCCCGCCCCATTCTCCCTTCTTCCATCACCTCACCCCATTCTCCCTCCTTCCATCACCCCGCCCCATTCTCCCGCTTTCCATCACCCCGCCCAATTCTCCCGCTTTCCATCACCACGCCCCATTCTTCCGCTTTAAATCACCCCGCCCCATTCTCCCGCTTTCCATCACCCCGCCCCATTCTCCCGCTTTCCATCACCCCGCCCCATTCTCCCTTCTTCCATCACCTCACCCCATTCTCCCTCCTTCCATCACCCCGCCCCATTCTCCCGCTTTCCATCACCCTGCCCCATTCTCCCGCTTTCCATCACCCCGCCCCATTTTCCCGCTTTCCGTCACCCCGCCCCATTCTCCTGCTATCCATCACCCCGCCCCATTCTCCTGCTTTCCATCACCCCGCCCCATTCTCCCGCTTTCCATCACCCCGCCCCATTCTCCCGCTTTCCATCACCCCCCCATTCTCCCTTCTTCCATCACCTCACCCCATTCTCCCTCCTTCCATCACCCCGCTCCATTCTCCTGCTTTCAATCACCCCGCCCCATTCTTCCGCATTCCATCACCCAGCCCCATTCTCCCGCTTTCCATCACCCCGCCCCATTTTCCCGCTTTCCGTCACCCCGCCCCATTCTCCCGCTATCCATCACCCCGCCCCATTCCCCCACTTTCCATCACCCCGCCCCATTCTCCCGCTTTCCATCACCCCACCCCATTCTCCCGCTTTCCATCACCCCCGCCCCATTCTTCCGCTTTCCATCACCCCGCCCCATTCTCCCGCTTTCCATCACCCCTCCCCATTCTCCTGCTTTCCATCACCCCGCACCATTCTCCCTCCTTCCATGACCCCGCCCCATTCTCCCTCCTTCCATTACCCCGCCCCATTCTCCCGCTTTCCATCACCCCGCCCCATTCTCCCGCTTTCCATCACCCCGTCCCATTCTCCCGCTTTCCATCATCACGCCCCATTCTCCAGCTTTCCAACACCCCGTCCCATTCTCCCTCTTTCCATCACCCCACCCCATTCTCCCGCTTTCCATCACCCCGCCCAATTCTCCCGCTTTCCATCACCCCGTCCCATTCTCCCGCTTTCCATCACCCCGCCCCATTCTCCCGCTTTCCATCACCCTGCCCCAATCTCCCGCTTTCCATCACCCGCTCCATTCTCCCGCTTTCCAACACCCCGTCCCATTCTCCCGCTTTCCATCACCCCGCCCCATTCTCCCGCTTTCCATCACCCCGCCCCATTCTCCCGCTTTCCATCACCCCGTCCCATTCTCCCGCTTTCCATCACCCCTCCCCATTCTCCCTCCTTCCATCACCCCGCCCCATTCCCCCGCTTTCCATCACCGCGCCCCATTCTCCTGCTTTCCATCACCCCGCCCCATTCTCCCTCCTTCCATCACCCCGCCCCATTCTCCCTCCTTCCATAACCCCGCCCCATTCTCCTGCTTTCCATCACCCCGCCCCATTCTCCCGCTTTCCATAACCCCGCCCCATTCTCCCGCTTTCCCTCACCCCGCCCCAGTCTCCCGCATTTCATAGCCCCGCCCTATTCTCCCGCTTTCCATCACCTCGCCCCCTTCTCCCGCTTTCCATCACCCCGGCCCAATCTCCCTCCTTCCATCACCCCACCCCATTCTCCCTCCTTGCATCACCCCGCCCCATTCTCCCGCTTTCCATCACCCCGCCCCATTCTCCCGCTTTCCATCACCCCGCCCCATTCTCCCGCATTCCATCACCCCGCCCCATTCTCCCGCTTTCCATCACCCCGCCCCATTCTCCAGCTTTCCATCACCCCGCCCCATTCTCCCGCTTTCCATCACCCCGCCCTGTTCTCCTACTTTCCATCACCCCACCCCATTCTCCCGCTTTCCATCGCCCCACCCCATTCTCCCACTTTGCATCACCAGACCCCATTCTCCCGCTTTCCATCACCCCGACCCAATCTCTCTCTTTCCATCACCCCGCCCCATTCTCCCGCTTTCCATCACCCCGCCCCATTCTCCCGCTTTCCATCATCCCGCCCCATTCTCCCTCCTTCCATCACCCCGCCCCATTCTCCCTCCTTCCATCACCCCGCCCCATACTCCCGCTTTCCATCACCCCGCCTCATTCTCCCGCTTTCCATCACCCCGCCCCATTCTCCCGCTTTCCATCACCCCACCCCATTCTCCCGCTTTCCATCACCCCGCCCCATTCTCCCGCTTTCCATCACCCTGCCCCATTCTCCCTCCTTCCATCACCCCGGCCCATTCTCCCGCTTTCCATCACCCCGCCCCATTCTCCCGCTTTCCATCATCCCGCCCCATTCTCCCGCTTTCCATCACCCCGCCCCGTTCTCCCTCCTTCCATCACCCCGCGCCATTCTCCCTCCTTCCATCACCCCACCCCATTCTCCTGCTTTCCATCACCCCGCCCTATTCTTCCGCATTCCATCACCCAGCCCCATTATCCCGCCTTCCATCACCCCGCCCCATTTTCCTGCTTTCCGTCACCCCGCCCCATTCTCCCGCTATCCATCACCCCGCCCCATTCCCCAGCTTTCCATCACCCCGCCCCATTCTCCCGCTCTCCATCACCCCGCCCCATTCTCCCGCTTTCCATCACCCCGCCCAATTCTCCCGCTTTCCATCACCACGCCCCATTCTCCCGCTTTCCATCACCCCGCCCCATTCTCTCGCTTTCCATCACCCCGCCCCATTCTCCCGCTTTCCATCACCCCGCCCCATTTTCTCGCTTTCCATCACCCGCCCCATTCTCCCACTTTCCATCACCCCTCCCCATTCTCCCTCCTTCCATCTCCCCGCCCCATTCTCCCTCCTTCCATCACCCCGACCCATTCTCCCTCCTTCCATCACCCCGCCCCATTCTCCCGCTTTCCATCGCCCCACCCCATTCTCCCACTTTGCATCACCCGACCCCATTCTCCCGCTTTCCATCACCCCGACCCATTCTCCCGCTTTCCATCACCCCGTCCCATTCTCCCGCTTTCCATCACCCCGCCCCATTCTCCCGCTTTCAATCACCCCGCCCCATTCTCCCTCCTTCCATCACCCCGCCCCATTCTCCCTCCTTCCATCACCCCGCCCCATACTCCTGCTTTCCATCACCCCGCCTCATTCTCCCGCATTCCATCACCCCGCCTCATTCTCCCGCTTTGCATCACCCCGCCCCATTCTCCCGCTTTCCATCACCCCGCCCCATTCTCCCGCTTTCCATCACCCTGCCCCATTCTCCCTCCTTCCATCACCCCGGCCCATTCTCCCGCTTTCCATCACCCCGCCCCATTCTCCCGCTTTCCATCACCCTGCCCCATTCTCCCGCTTTCCATCACCTCGCCCCATTCTCCCTCCTTCCATCACCCCGCGCCATTCTCCCTCCTTCCATCACCCCACCCCATTCTCCTGCTTTCCATCACCCCGCCCTATTCTTCCGCATTCCATCACCCAGCCCCATTCTCCCGCTTTCCATCTCTTCGCCCCATTTTCCTGCTTTCCGTCACCCCGCCCCATTCTCCCGCTATCCATCACCCCGCCCCATTCCCCCGCTTTCCATCACCCCGCCCCATTCTCCTGCTTTCCATCACCCCGCCCCATTCTCCCGCTTTCCATCACCCCGCCCAATTCTCCCGCTTTCCATCACCACGCCCCATTCTTCCTTCTTCCATCACCTCACCCCATTCTCCCTCCTTCCATCACCCCGCCCCATTCTCCCGCTTTCCATCACCCTGCCCCATTCTCCCGCTTTCCATCACCCCGCCCCATTCTCCCGCTTTCCATCACCCCGCCCCATTCTCCCGCTTTCCATCACCCCGCCCCATTCTCCCGCTTTCCATCACCCCGCCCCATTCTCCCTTCTTCCATCACCTCACCCCATTCTCCCTCCTTCCATCACCCCGCTCCATTCTCCTGCTTTCCATCACCCCGCCCCATTCTTCCGCATTCCATCACCCAGCCCCATTCTCCCGCTTTCCATCACCCCGCCCCATTTTCCCGCTTTCCGTCACCCCGCCCCATTCTCCCGCTATCCATCACCCCGCCCCATTCCCCCACTTTCCATCACCCCGCCCCATTCTCCCGCTTTCCATCACCCCACCCCATTCTCCCGCTTTCCATCACCCCCGCCCCATTCTTCCGCTTTCCATCACCCCGCCCCATTCTCCCGCTTTCCATCACCCCTCCCCATTCTCCTGCTTTCCATCACCCCGCACCATTCTCCCTCCTTCCATGACCCCGCCCCATTCTCCCTCCTTCCATTACCCCGCCCCATTCTCCCGCTTTCCATCACCCCGCCCCATTCTCCCGCTTTCCATCACCCCGTCCCATTCTCCCGCTTTCAATCATCACGCCCCATTCTCCAGCTTTCCAACACCCTGTCCCATTCTCCCTCTTTCCATCACCCCACCCCATTCTCCCGCTTTCCATCACCCCGCCCAATTCTCCCGCTTTCCATCACCCCGTCCCATTCTCCCGCTTTCCATCACCCCGCCCCATTCTCCCGCTTTCCATCACCCTGCCCCAATCTCCCGCTTTCCATCACCCGCTCCATTCTCCCGCTTTCCAACACCCCGTCCCATTCTCCCGCTTTCCATCACCCCGCCCCATTCTCCCGCTTTCCATCACCCCGCCCCATTCTCCCGCTTTCCATCACCCCGTCCCATTCTCCCGCTTTCCATCACCCCTCCCCATTCTCCCTCCTTCCATCACCCCGCCCCATTCCCCCGCTTTCCATCACCGCGCCCCATTCTCCTGCTTTCCATCACCCCGCCCCATTCTCCCTCCTTCCATCACCCCGCCCCATTCTCCCTCCTTCCATAACCCCGCCCCATTCTCCTGCTTTCCATCACCCCGCCCCATTCTCCCGCTTTCCATAACCCCGCCCCATTCTCCCGCTTTCCCTCACCCCGCCCCAGTCTCCCGCATTTCATAGCCCCGCCCTATTCTCCCGCTTTCCATCACCTCGCCCCCTTCTCCCGCTTTCCATCACCCCGGCCCAATCTCCCTCCTTCCATCACCCCACCCCATTCTCCCTCCTTGCATCACCCCGCCCCATTCTCCCGCTTTCCATCACCCCGCCCCATTCTCCCGCTTTCCATCACCCCGCCCCATTCTCCCGCATTCCATCACCCCGCCCCATTCTCCCGCTTTCCATCACCCCGCCCCATTCTCCAGCTTTCCATCACCCCGCCCCATTCTCCCGCTTTCCATCACCCCGCCCTGTTCTCCTACTTTCCATCACCCCACCCCATTCTCCCGCTTTCCATCACCCCGCCTCATTCTCCCGCTTTCCATCACCCCGCCCCATTCTCCCTACTTCCATCACTGCGCCCCATTCTCCCTCCTTCCATCACCCTGCCCTATTCTCCCGCGTTCCATCACCTCGCCCCATTCTCCCGCTTTCCATTCCCCCGCCCCATTCTCCCGCTTTCCATCACCCCACCCCATTCTCCCTCCTTCCATCACCGCACCCCATTCTCCCTCCTTGCATCACCCTGCCCCATTCTCCCGCTTTCCATCACCTCGCCCCATTCTCCCGCTTTCCATCACCTTGCACCATTCTCCTGCTTTCCATCGCCCCGCCCCATTCTCCCTCCTTCCATCACCCCACCCCATTCTCCCACTTTCCATCACCCTGCCCCATTCTCCTGCTTTCCATCACCCCACCCCATTCACCAGCGTTCCATCACCCCGCTCCATTCTCCCGCTTTCCATCACCCCGCCACGTTCTCCCACTTTGCATCACCCCGCCCCATTCTCCAGCTTTCCATCACCCCGCCCCATTCTTCCACTTTCCATCACCCCGCCCCATTCTCCCGCTTTCCATCACCCCGCCCCATTCTCCCGCTTTCCATCACCCCGCCCCATTCTCCCGCTTTCCATCACCCCGCCCCATTCTCCCTCCCTCCATCACCGCGCCCCATTCTCCCTCCTTCCATCACCCTGCCCCATTCTCCAGCTTTCCATCACCTCGCCCCATTCTCCTGCTTTCCATCACCCCGCCCCATTCTCCCGCTTTCCATCACCCCGCCCCATTCTCCCGCTTTCCATCACCCCGCCCCATTCTCCCGTTTTACATCACCCTGCCCCATTCTCCCGCTTTCCATAACATCGCCCCATTCTCACGCTTTCCATCACCCCGCCCCATTCTCCCGCTTTCTATCACCCCACCCCATTCTCCCTCCTTCCATCACCGCGCCCCATTCTCCCTCCTTCCATCACCCCGCCCTATTCTCCCACTTTCCATCACCCCGCCCCATTCTCCTGCTTTTCATCACCCCGCCCCATTCTCCAGCGTTCCATCACCCCGCCCCATTCTCCCGCTTTCCATCACCCCGCCCCATTCTCCCGCTTTCCATCACCCCGCCCCATTCTCCCTCCTTCCATCACCCCGCCTTATTCTCCCGCTTTCCATTACCCCGCCCCATTCTCCCGCTTTCCATCACCTCGCCCCATTCTCCCGCTTTCCATCACCCTGCCCCATTCTCCCGCTTTCCATCACCCCGCCCCATTCTCCCGCTTTCCATCACCCCGCCCCATTCTCCCGTTTCCATCACCCCGTCCCATTCTCCCGCTTTCCATCACCCCACCCCATTCTCCTGCTTTCCATCACCCCGCCCCATTCTCCCGCTTTCCATCCCCCCGCCCCATTCTCCCGCTTTCTATCACCCCGCCCCATTCTCCCTCCTTCCATCACCCTGCCCCATTCTCCCTCCTTCCATCACCCCGCCCCATTCTCCCTCCTTACATAACCCCGCCCCATTCTCCTGCTTTCCATCACCCCGCCCCATTCTCCCGCTTTCCACCACCTTGCCACATTCTCCCGCCTTCCATCACCCCGCCCCATTCTCCCTCCTTCCATCACCCCGCCCCATTCTCCCGCTTTCCATCACTCCGCCCCATTCTCCCGCTTTCCATCACCCCGCCCCATTCTCCCGCTTTCCATCACCCCGCCCCATTCTCCCGCTTTCCATCACCCCGCCCCATTCTCCCACTTTCCATCACCTTGCCCCATTCTCCCGCTTTCCATCACACCGCCCCATTCTCACGCTTTCCATCACCCTGCCCCATTCTCCTGATTTCCATCACCCCGCCCCATTCTCCCTCCTTCCATCACCCCGCCCCATTCTCCCTCCTTCCATCACCCCGCTCCATTCTCCTGCTTTCCATCACCCCGCCCCATTCTTCCGCATTCCATCACCCAGCCCCATTCTCCCGCTTTCCATCACCCCGCCCCATTTTCCCGCTTTCCGTCACCCCGCCCCATTCTCCCGCTATCCATCACCCCGCCCCATTCCCCCACTTTCCATCACCCCGCCCCATTCTCCCGCTTTCCATCACCCCACCCCATTCTCCCGCTTTCCATCACCCCCGCCCCATTCTTCCGCTTTCCATCACCCCGCCCCATTCTCCCGCTTTCCATCACCCCTCCCCATTCTCCTGCTTTCCATCACCCCGCACCATTCTCCCTCCTTCCATGACCCCGCCCCATTCTCCCTCCTTCCATTACCCCGCCCCATTCTCCCGCTTTCCATCACCCCGCCCCATTCTCCCGCTTTCCATCACCCCGTCCCATTCTCCCGCTTTCCATCATCACGCCCCATTCTCCAGCTTTCCATCACCCCGTCCCATTCTCCCTCTTTCCATCACCCCACCCCATTCTCCCGCTTTCCATCACCCCGCCCAATTCTCCCGCTTTCCATCACCCCGTCCCATTCTCCCGCTTTCCATCACCCCGCCCCATTCTCCCGCTTTCCATCACCCTGCCCCAATCTCCCGCTTTCCATCACCCGCTCCATTCTCCCGCTTTCCAACACCCCGCCCCATTCTCCCGCTTTCCATCACCCCGCCCCATTCTCCCGCTTGCCATCACCCCGCCCCATTCTCCCGCTTTCCATCACCCCATCCCATTCTCCCGCTTTCCATCACCCCTCCCCATTCTCCCTCCTTCCGTCACCCCGCCCCATTCCCCCGCTTTCCATCACACCGCCCTATTCTCACGCTTTCCATCACCGCGCCCCATTCTCCTGCTTTCCATCACCCCGCCCCATTCTCCCTCCTTCCATCACCCCGCCCCATTCTCCCTCTTTCCATAACCCCGCCCCATTCTCCTGCTTTCCATCACCCCGCCCCATTCTCCCGCTTTCCATAACCCCGCCCCATTCTCCCGCTTTCCCTCACCCCGCCCCAGTCTCCCGCATTTCATAGCCCCGCCCTATTCTCCCGCTTTCCATCACCTCGCCCCCTTCTCCCGCTTTCCATCACCCCGGCCCAATCTCCCTCCTTCCATCACCCCACCCCATTCTCCCTCCTTGCATCACCCCGCCCAATTCTCCCGCTTTCCATCACCCCGCCCCATTCTCCCGCTTTCCATCACCCCGCCCCATTCTCCCGCATTCCATCACCCCGCCCCATTCTCCCGCTTTCCATCACCCCGCCCCATTCTCCAGCTTTCCATCACCCCGCCCCATTCTCCCGCTTTCCATCACCCCGCCCTGTTCTCCTACTTTCCATCACCCCACCCCATTCTCCCGCTTTCCATCACCCCGCCTTATTCTCCCGCTTTCCATCACCCCGCCCCATTCTCCCTCCTTCCTTCAGTGCGCCCCATTCTCCCTCCTTCCATCACCCTGCCCTATTCTCCCGCGTTCCATCACCTCGCCCCATTCTCCTGCTTTCCATCCCCCCGCCCCATTGTCCCGCTTCCATCACCCCACCCCATTCTCCCTCCTTCCATCACCGCACCCCATTCTCCCTCCTTGCATCACCCTGCCCCATTCTCCCGCTTTCCATCACCTCGCCCCATTCTCCCGCTTTCCATCACCCCGCCCCATTCTCCTGCTTTCCATCACCCCGCCCCATTCTCCCTCCTTCCATCACCCCACCCCATTCTCCCAGTTTCCATCACCCTGCCCCATTCTCCTGCTTTCCATCACCCCACCCCATTCACCAGCGTTCCATCACCCCGCCCCATTCTCCCGCTTTCCATCACCCCGCTCCGTTCTCCCACTTTGCATCACCCCGCCCCATTCTCCAGCTTTCCATCACCCCGCCCCATTCTTCCGCTTTCCATCACCCCGCCCCATTCTCCCGCTTTCCATCACCCCGCCCCATTCTCCCGCTTTCCATCACCCCGCCCCATTCTCCCGCTTTCCATCACCCGGCCCCATTCTCCCTCCCTCCATCACCGCGCCCCATTCTCCCTCCTTCCATCACCCTGCCCCATTCTCCCGCTTTCCATCACCTCGCCCCATTCTCCTACTTTCCATCACCCCGCCCCATTCTCCCGCTTTCCATCACCCCGCCCCATTCTCCCGCTTTCCATCACCCCGCCCCATTCTCCCGTTTTCCATCACCCTGCCCCATTCTCCTGCTTTCCATAACATCGCCCCATTCTCACGCTTTCCATCACCCCGCCCCATTCTCCCGCTTTCTATCACCCCACCCCATTCTCCCTCCTTCCATCACCGCGCCCCATTCTCCCTCCTTCCATCACCCCGCCCTATTCTCCCACTTTCCATCACCCCGCCCCATTCTCCTGCTTTCCATCACCCCGCCCCATTCTCCAGCGTTCCATCACCCCGCCCCATTCTCCCGCTTTCCATCACCCCGCCCCATTCTCCCGCTTTCCATCACCCCGCCCCATTCTCCCTCCTTCCATCACCCCGCCTTATTCTCCCGCTTTCCATTACCCCGCCCCATTCTCCCGCTTTCCATCACCCCACCACATTCTCCCGCTTTCCATCACCCCGCCCCATTCTCCCGCTTTCCATCACCCGGCCCCATTCTCCCGCTTTCCATCACCCCGCCCCATTCTCCCGTTTCCATCACCCCGTCCCATTCTCCCGCTTTCCATCACCCCACCCCATTCTCCTGCTTTCCATCACCCCGCCCCATTCTCCCGCTTTCCATCCCCCCGCCCCGTTCTCCCGCTTTCTATCACCCCGCCCCATTCTCCCTCCTTCCATCACCCCGCCCCATTCTCCCTCCTTCCATCACCCCGCCCCATTCTCCCTCCTTACATCACCCCGCCCCATTCTCCTGCTTTCCATCACCCCGCCCCATTCTCCCGCTTTCCACCACCTTGCCCCATCCTCCCGCCTTCCATCACCCCGCCCCATTCTCCCTCCTTCCATCACCCCGCCCCATTCTCCCGCTTTCCATCACTCCGCCCCATTCTCCCGCTTTCCATCACCCCACCCCATTCTCCCGCTTTCCATCACCCCGCCCCATTCTCCCGCTTTCCATCACCTTGCCCCATTCTCCCGCTTTCCATCACACCGCCCCATTCTCACGCTTTCCATCACCCTGCCCCATTCTCCTGATTTCCATCACCCCGCCCCATTCTCCCTCCCTCCATCACCCCGCCCCATTCTCCCTCCTTCCATAACCCCGCCCCATTCTCCTGCTTTCCATCACCCTGCCCCATTCTCCCGCTTTCGATCACCCCGCCCCATTCTCCCGCTTTCCCTCACCCTGCCCCAGTCTCCCGCATTGTATAGCCCCGCCCTATTCTCCCGCTTTCCATCACCTCGCCCCCTTCTCCCGCTTTCCATCACCCCGCCCCAATCTCCCTCCTTCCATCACCCCACCCCATTCTCCCTCCTTTCATCATCCCGCCCCATTCTCCCGCTTTCCATCACCCCGCCCCATTCTCCCGCTTTCCATCACCCCGCCCCATTCTCTCGCTTTCCATCACCCCGCCCCATTCTCCCACTTTCCATCACCCCGCCCCATTCTCCCGCTGTCCATCACCCGGCCCCATTCTCTTGCTTTCCATCACCCCGCCCCATTCTCCTGCTTTCCATCACCCCGCCCCATTCTCTCTCCTTCCATCACCCCGCCACATTCTCCCGCTTTCCATCACCCCGTCCCATTCTCCCGCTTTCCATCACCCCGCCCAATTCTCCCGCTTTCCATCACCCCGCCCCATTCTCCCGCTTTCCATCACCCCGCCCCATTCTCCCGCTTTCCATCACCCCGCCCCATTCTCCCTCTTTCCATCACCCCGCCCCATTCTCCCTCCTTCCATCACCCCTCCCCATTCTCCTTGCTTCCATCACCCCGCCCCATTCTCCCACTTTCCATCACCCCGCCCTATTTTCCCGTTTTCCATCACCCCGCCCCATTCTCCCGCTTTCCATCACCCCTCCCCATTCTCGTTGCTTCCATCACCCCGCCCCAATCTCCCTCCTTCCATCACCCCGCCCCATTCTCCCGCTTTCCATGACCCCGCCCCATTGTACCGCTTTCCATCACCCCGCCCCATTCTCCCGCTTCCTAACACCCAGCCCCATTCTCCCGCTTTCCATCACCCCGTCCCATTCTCCCTCCATCCATCACCCCGCCCCATTTTCCCTCCTTCCATCACCCCGCCCGATTCTCTTGCCTTCCATCACCCCGCCCCATTCGCCCGCTTTCCATCACCCCTCCCCATTCTCCCGCTTTCCATCATCCTGCCCCATTCTCCCGCTTTCCATCATCCTGCCCCATTCTCCCGCTTTCCATCACCCCGCCCCATTCTCCCGCTTTCCATCACCCCGCCCCATTCTCCCTCCTTCCATCACCCCGCCTTATTCTCCCGCTTTCCATTACCCCGCCCCATTCTCCCGCTTTCCATCACCTCGCCCCATTCTCCCGCTTTCCATCACCCCGCCCCATTCTCCCGCTTTCCATCACCCCGCCCCATTCTCCCGCTTTCTATCACCCTGCCCCATTCTCCCGTTTCCATCACCCCGTCCCATTCTCCCGCTTTCCATCACCCCACCCCAGTCTCCTGCTTTCCATCACCCCGCCCCATTCTCCCGCTCTCCATCCCCCCGCCCCATTCTCCCGCTTTCTATCACCCCGCCCCATTCTCCCTCCTTCCATCACCCCGCCCCATTCTCCCTCCTTCCATCACCCCGCCCCATTCTCCCTCCTTACATCACCCCGCCCCATTCTCCTGCTTTCCATCACCCCACCCCATTCTCCCGCTTTCCACCACCTTGCCCCATTCTCCTGCCTTCCATCACCCCGCCCCATTCTCCCTCCTTCCATCACCCCGCCCCATTCTCCCGCTTTCCATCACTCCGCCCCATTCTCCCGCTTTCCATCACCCCTCCCCATTCTCCCGCTTTCCATCACCCCGCCCCATTCTCCCGCTTTCCATCACCCCGCCCCATTCTCCCGCTTACCATCGCCTTGCCCCATTCTCCCGCTTTCCATCACCCCGCCCCATTCTCCTGCTTTCCATCACCCCGCCCCAATCTCCCTCTTTCCATCAACCCACCCCATACTTCCTCCTTCCATCACCCCGCCCCATTCTCCTGCCTTCCATCACCCCGCCCCATTCTCCCACTTTCCATCACCCCACCCCATTTTCCCGTTTTCCATCACCCCGCCCCATTCTCCTGCTTTCCATCACCCCGCCCCATTCTCCCGCTTTCCATCACCCCGCCCCATTCTCCCTCTTTCCATCACCCCACCCCATCCTCCCACCTTCCATCACCCCGCCCCATTCTTGTGGAAAGGACTCTGGGATTGGCCTCTGGTCTGGCGCCGGAAGGGCTACAAGCTCGGCGCTTGGGAGGCGTGGGCGCGCTCACCCGCTATACAAACATGCCCTTTTGTCCCAGTTGGTTAGCGGATTGGAATGCTTTCCATGCATGGTGCGGTGAGCGTGGAGGACCGGGGTTTGATTCGTGCTGTTGGCGACTTCCTGTGCCCTAGTGGTGGGCCCTCCCAGTGAGGGGAGTATTGGAAGTGGACACTGGAATGGCCCAAAGTGGTCTCCCTAAGGGCTACAGTGTCGTCCTGGGGGGTTATGGGTGCGTTGACCCACTATGGAAACATGCCCTTTGACCCAGTTGGTTAGTGAACTGGGTCCGTTGTCCGGGGGGCCAGGGTTCGAATCCCGCTGTTGTCGCTTTCAGTGGATTGAGAGCGAACTTTCCTTCCTCTGGGTGAGGCCGCTCCCAGTGAGGGGAGTGTGGAAAGGACACTGGGATTGGCCTCTGGTCTGGCGCCGGAAGGGCTACAAGCTCGGCGCTTGGGAGGCGTGGGCGCGCTAACCCGCTATACAAACATGCCCTTTTATCACAGTCGGTTAGCGGATTGGGATGCTATCCCTGCAATTCTCCCTCCTTCCCATCATCCCAAACCATTCTCCCGCTTTCCATCACCCCACCCCATTCTCCCGCTTTCCATCACCCCGCCCCATTCTCTCGCTTTCCATCACCCCGCCCCATTCTCCCGCTTTCCATCACCCCGCCCCATTCTCCCGCTTTCCATCACCCCTCCCCATTCTCCCTCCTTCCATCACCCCGCCCCATTCTCCTTCCTTCCATCACCCCGCCCCATTCTCCCACTTTCCATCACCCCGCCCCATTTTCCCGTTTTCCATCACCCCGCCCCATTCTCCCGCTTTCCATCACCCCTCCCCATTCTCGTTGCTTCCATCACCCCGCCCCAATCTCCCTCCTTCCATCACCACGCCCCATTCTCCCGCTTTCCATGACCGCGCCCCATTGTACCGCTTTCCATCACCCCACCCCATTCTCCCGCTTTCCATCACCCCGCCCCATTCTTCCAATTTTGCACACGCTAGGCCCTTGTTCTTCCAATTTTGCACACGGTAGGCCCTTGTTCTTCCAATTTTGCACATGCTAGGCCCTTGTTCTTCCAATTTTGCACACTCTAGGCCCTTGTTCTTCCAATTCTGCACACGCTGGGCTCTTGTTCTTCCAATTTTGCACACGCTAGGCCCTTGTTCTTCCAATTTTGCACACGCTAGGCCCTTGTTCTTCCAATTTTGCACATGCTAGGCCCTTGTTCTTGCAATTTGGCACACGCTAGGCCCTTGTTCTTCCAATTTTGCACACAATAGGCCCTTGTTCTTCCAATTTTGCACATGCTAGGCCCTTGTTCTTCAAATTTTGCACACGCTAGGCTCTTGTTCTTCCAATTTTGCACACGCTAGGCCCTTGTTATTCCAATTTTGCACACGTTAGGCCCTTGTTCTTCCAATTTTGCACACGCTAGGCCCTTGTTCTTCCAATTTTGCACACGCTAGGCCCTTGTTCTTCCAATTTTGCACACGCTAGGCCCTTGTTCTTCCAATTTTGCACACACACTAGGCCTTTGTTCTTGCAATTTGGCACACGCTAGGCCCTTGTTCTTCCAATTTTGCACACACTAGGCCCTTGATCTTCCAATTTTGCACACGCTAGGCCTTTGTTCTTGCAATTTTGCACAGGCTAGGCCCTTGTTCTTCCAATTTTGCACACGCTAGGCCCTTGTTCTTCCAATTTTGCACATACTAGGCCCTTGTTCTTGCAATTTTGCACACGCTAGGCACTTGTTCTTCCAATTTTGCACACAATAGCCTCTTGTTCTTGCAATTTGGCACACGCTTGACCCTTGTTCTTCCAATTTTGCACATACTAGGCCCTTGTTCTTGCAATTTTGCACATGCTAGGCCCTTGTTCTTCCAATTTTGCACACGCTAGGCCCTTGTTCTTCCAATTTGGCACAAGGTAGGCCCTTGTTCTTCCAATTTTGCACACGCTAGGCCCTTGTTCTTCCAATTTTGCACATACTAGGCCTTTGTTCTTGCAATTTGGCACACACTAGGCCCTTGTTCTTCCAATTTGGCACACGCTAGGCCCTTGTTCTTCCAATTTTGCACACGCTAGGCCCTTGTTCTTCCAATTTTGCACACGCTAGGCCCTTGTTCTTCCAATTTTGCACACGCTAGGCCCTTGTTCTTCCAATTTTGCACACGCTAGGCCCTTGTTCTTCCAATTGTGCACACGCTAGGCTCTTGTTCTTCCAATTTTGCACACGCTAGGCCCTTGTTCTTCCAATTTTGCACACGCTAGGCCCTTGTTCTTCCGATTTTGCACACGCTAGGCCCTTGTTCTTCAAATTTTGCACACGCTAGGCCCTTGTTCTTCCAATTTTGCACACGCTAGGCACTTGTTCTTCCAAGTTTGCACACGCTAGGCACTTGTTCTTCCAATTTTGCACACAATAGCCTCTTGTTCTTGCAATTTGGCACACGCTTGGCCCTTGTTCTTCCAATTTTGCACATACTAGGCCCTTGTTCTTGCAATTTTGCACATGCTAGGCCCTTGTTCTTCCAATTTTGCACACGCTAGGCCCTTGTTCTTCCAATTTTGCACATACTAGGCCCTTGTTCTTGCAATTTTGCACACGCTAGGCACTTGTTCTTCCAATTTTGCACACAATAGCCTCTTGTTCTTGCAATTTGGCACACGCTTGACCCTTGTTCTTCCAATTTTGCACATACTAGGCCCTTGTTCTTGCAAATTTGCACATGCTAGGCCCTTGTTCTTCCAATTTTGCACACGCTAGGCCCTTGTTCTTCCAATTTGGCACAAGCTAGGCCCTTGTTCTTCCAATTTTGCACACGCTAGGCCCTTGTTCTTCCAATTTTGCACACGCTAGGCCCTTGTTCTTCCAATTTTGCACACGCTAGGCCCTTGTTCTTCCAATTGTGCACACGCTAGGCTCTTGTTCTTCCAATTTTGCACACGCTAGGCCCTTGTTCTTCCAATTTTGCACACGCTAGGCCCTTGTTCTTCCGATTTTGCACACGCTAGGCCCTTGTTCTTCAAATTTTGCACACGCTAGGCCCTTGTTCTTCCAATTTTGCACACGCTAGGCACTTGTTCTTCCAAGTTTGCACACGCTAGGCACTTGTTCTTCCAATTTTGCACACAATAGCCTCTTGTTCTTGCAATTTGGCACACGCTTGGCCCTTGTTCTTCCAATTTTGCACATACTAGGCCCTTGTTCTTGCAATTTTGCACATGCTAGGCCCTTGTTCTTCCAATTTTGCACACGCTAGGCCCTTGTTCTTCCAATTTTGCACATACTAGGCCCTTGTTCTTGCAATTTTGCACACGCTAGGCACTTGTTCTTCCAATTTTGCACACAATAGCCTCTTGTTCTTGCAATTTGGCACACGCTTGACCCTTGTTCTTCCAATTTTGCACATACTAGGCCCTTGTTCTTGCAATTTTGCACATGCTAGGCCCTTGTTCTTCCAATTTTGCACACGCTAGGCCCTTGTTCTTCCAATTTGGCACAAGCTAGGCCCTTGTTCTTCCAATTTTGCACACGCTAGGCCCTTGTTCTTCCAATTTTGCACATACTAGGCCTTTGTTCTTGCAATTTGGCACACACTAGGCCCTTGTTCTTCCAATTTTGCACACGCTAGGCCCTTGCTCTTCCAATTTTGCACACGCTAGGCCCTTGTTCTTCCAATTTTGCACACGCTAGGCCCTTGTTCTTCCAATTTTGCACACGCTAGGCCCTTGTTCTTCCAATTTTGCACACGCTAGGCCCTTGTTCTTCCAATTGTGCACACGCTAAGCTCTTGTTCTTCCAATTTTGCACACGCTAGGCCCTTGTTCTTCCATTTTTGCACACGCTAGGCCCTTGTTCTTCCGATTTTGCACACGCTAGGCCCTTGTTCTTCAAATTTTGCACACGCTAGGCCCTTGTTCTTCCAATTTTGCACACGCTAGGCACTTGTTCTTCCAAGTTTGCACACGCTAGGCACTTGTTCTTCCAATTTTGCACACAATAGCCTCTTGTTCTTGCAATTTGGCACACGCTTGGCCCTTGTTCTTCCAATTTTGCACATACTAGGCCCTTGTTCTTGCAATTTTGCACATGCTAGGCCCTTGTTCTTCCAATTTTGCACACGCTAGGCCCTTGTTCTTCCAATTTGGCACAAGCTAGGCCCTTGTTCTTCCAATTTTGCACACGCTAGGCCCTTGTTCTTCCAATTTTGCACATACTAGGCCTTTGTTCTTGCAATTTGGCACACACTAGGCCCTTGTTCTTCCAATTTTGCACACGCTAGGCCCTTGTTCTTCCAATTTTGCACACGTTAGGCCCTTGTTCTTCCAATTTTGCACACGCTAGGCCCTTGTTCTTCCAATTTTGCACACGCTAGGCCCTTGTTCTTCCAATTTTGCACACGCTAGGCCCTTGTTCTTCCAATTTTGCACACGCTAGGCTCTTGTTCTTCCAATTTTGCACACGCTAGGCCCTTGTTCTTCCAATTTTGCACACGCTAGGCCCTTGTTCTTCCGATTTTGCACACGCTAGGCCCTTGTTCTTCAAATTTTGCACACGCTAGGCCCTTGTTCTTCCAATTTTGCACACGCTAGGCCCTTGTTCTTCCAATTTTGCACACGCTAGGCCCTTGTTCTTCCAATTTTGCACACGCTAGGCCTTTGTTCTTGCAATTTAGCACACGCTAGGCCCTTGTTCTTCCAATTTTGCACACACTAGGCCCTTGTTCTTGCAATTTTGCACACGCTAGGCCCTTGTTCTTCCAATTTTGCACACGCTAGGCCCTTGTTCTTCCAATTTTGCACACGCTAGGCCCTGGTTCTTTCAATTTTTCACGCACTAGGCCCTTATTCTTGCAATTTTGCACACGCTAGGCCCTTGTTCTTCCAATTTTGCACACGCTAGGCCCTTGTTCTTCCAATTTTGCACACGCTAGGCACTTGTTCTTCCAATTTTGCACACACTAGGACTTTGTTCTTGCAATTTGGCACACGCTTGGCCCTTGTTCTTCCAATTTTGCACACACTAGGCCCTTGTTCTTGCAATTTTGCACACGCTAGGCCCTTGTTCTTCCAATTTTGCACACGCTAGGCCCTTGTTCTTCCAATTTTGCACACGCTAGGCCCTTGTTCTTCCAATTTTGCACACGCTAGGCCCTTGTTCTTCCAATTTTGCACATACTAGGCCCTTGTTCTTGCAATTTTGCACATGCTAGGCACTTGTTCTTCCAATTTTGCACACAATAGCCTCTTGTTCTTGCAATTTGGCACACGCTTGGCCCTTGTTCTTCCAATTTTGCACATACTAGGCCCTTGTTCTTGCAATTTTGCACATGCTAGGCCCTTGTTCTTCCAATTTTGCACACGCTAGGCCCTTGTTCTTCCAATTTGGCACAAGCTAGGCCCTTGTTCTTCCAATTTTGCACACGCTAGGCCCTTGTTCTTCCAATTTTGCACATACTAGGCCTTTGTTCTTGCAATTTGGCACACACTAGGCCCTTGTTCTTCCAATTTTGCACACGCTAGGCCCTTGTTCTTCCAATTTTGCACACGCTAGGCCCTTGTTCTTCCAATTTTGCACACGCTAGGCCCTTGTTCTTCCAATTTTGCACACGCTAGGCCCTTGTTCTTCCAATTTTGCACACGCTAGGCCCTTGTTCTTCCAATTTTGCACACGCTAGGCTCTTGTTCTTCCAATTTTGCACACGCTAGGCCCTTGTTCTTCCAATTTTGCACACGCTAGGCCCTTGTTCTTCCGATTTTGCACACGCTAGGCCCTTGTTCTTCAAATTTTGCACACGCTAGGCCCTTGTTCTTCCGATTTTGCACACGCTAGGCATTTGTTCTTCCAAGTTTGCACACGCTAGGCCCTTGTTCTTCCAATTTTGCACACGCTAGGCACTTGTTC